TCTACTGCCTACTATATCCAAGTCTGAACTATTTAGCCTGACCCCCTCCTTAATCTAGGTAATTATGAATCCTTACCTATAGCCTGGTCAATTTCCTCAGTATCTCACACATAACTCATGCTTCTACTTATGCTCCCTTGGACATTTCTCTCCAGTTTAAGAATAATAGCTAGCTTTGTGGAGAGCTTTAACGTTTGCAAAGTGATTTACAATTATTTTATTTTATTCTGACATCATTCTATTATTATCCCCATTTTACAGATGAGGAAACTGATGCAGACACGTTAAGTATCTTACCTAAGGTCACAGAGATAATAATTGTCTGAAGCTGGATTTAGACTCAGGTCTTCCTGACCCTAAGTGCTGCTTTCTATCTAGTACACCAGCTAGCTGCCATCTTAATTTTCCTCCTTCCTCTCCATTCATTCTCTAAGACCCACATCAAATCTCACTTTTTTCTGCTGGATCCCTTTGATCCAGCAATAGCACTACTAGGTCTGTATCCCAAAGAGATCATAAAAAAGGGGAAAGGACCCATACATATATGTGTGTGTGTGTATGTATGTATGTGTATGTATGTATGCGTGTATATATATATACACACATATACATCTATATATATGTATATATATATATATATATATATATGTGTGTGTGTGTGTGTGTATATATATATATATGTATATATATATATATACTCTTTTTGTGGTTGCAAAGAATTGGAAGTTTAGGGGATGCCCATCAAATGGGGAATGGCTGAACAAGTTGTGGTATATGAATGTAATGGAATACTATTGTTCCATAGGAAATGATGAGCAGGCTGATTTCAGAAAAACCTGGAAAGACTTACATGAATTGTAAAGTGAGCAGAACCAGGAGAACATTGTACACGATAACAGCAATACTGTGCAATGACCAACTTTGATAGACTTAGCTCTTCTCAGCAATGCAATGATCTAAGACAATTCCAAGACTCACGATGGAAAATGCTATCTACATCCAGAGAAAGAACTATAGAGTCTGAATGTAGATCGAAGCATACTATTTTTTCTCTCTTTTTTTTTCTTTCTCATAGCTTTTTCCTTTTGTTCTGATTCTTCTTTCACAATATGTATGACTAATGTGGAAATATGTTCAAGATTGTACATGTATAGGCTATATCAGATTGCATGACATTTTAGGAGGAGGGAGGAGAAGGAAGAGGAAAAATTTAGAACTCAAAATCTTATAAAAAGATGTTGCTAACTAAAAATAAATAAATAAAAATTTTAAAAGATTTTTTAAAATCTCACCTTTTCAGGAAAACTTCCTTCTTTACCTGCTCTTGCCCTTATGAATGTCTTTCTCCTGTGATCTTCTCCTATACTATCCATTCTATACCATATAACTGGATACTTGAAGACTTTCTCACTTAAAGTTCTAGTCCATTGCTTCACACTGGTATGGCTATGACTTTAGGTGATCATATTACTCAAATTTGAGTATGCCAAGCACCACACTGGAAAGGCTCAGAGTACAGACCAGGCATTTGGTTTCCTACCTCTTTTGCTAATTGAGAAAAAAAAAAGCTCATCAATTCCTTACCAATAGATCATGAAATTATCATTGCCTTTCACCCAATCAAGGTTCCATCCCAATGGGCTGGGCCTGCCTATTTGCTGTTCCTGGAACTCAGCCTTCCATTTATCTCCTTTCCATCCTGGAAATGCATTCCTTCCTCACCTGCACTTCCCAGAATCTTTAGCTTCTTTCAAAGATAAATTCAGGCACCATCTCTTATGAGAAGCCTTTCCTAGTCCCCTTAGTTCAATCAATCTATCTATCAGTAATCAGCATGAACTAAGCTTTTGTTATGTGCTTAAAAAGAGACCAATCCCTGTCCTCAAGGAACCCACATTCCAATGGGGAGGATGGGAAGGGGGCAATCCACAAACAACTATGTAGAAACAAGATGTATCTACAAGGTAAATCAGAAGTAATCTCAGAGGGAAAATTCTTGAAGACAGAGACTTTGTCCTTATATTGCTTGATCAATAATTATTAAATATTTATTAAGCACCTACTACATGCTAGACATTGTGCTAAACACTGGGGACAAAAAGAAGGAAGACAGTCCCTGCTCTCAAGGAGCTCACAATCTAATGGGGGAAGACAACAAATATATACAACCAAGCATACAGTTGGCATTTAATTAATGTTTATTGAATGGAATTGAGATTTTTTTTTACCATAGCAATTCATGAAAACTACTTAATAAGGTATGGAGGGCTTGTGATGTGCCTTGGTGGAGTAGGGTACCCCACACTCAGGACAAAATCCCAGATCTTTTGAAGGGCCGATGAGGAATCTACTGTCCTTGGATTGTTCTCTTGCTTTGCATGTGTCAGTCCTGTACATCCCAGCCCTTCGCGAATGGAACCTTGTGCCTTATCCTCTATATACACCAGAGAACCTGGAACAACATTATCAGAATGTGGGCATTCAGTAAATACTTACTGTTTGATTCAGATTCTCCTAGTACTTGTAGAAATGTAACCAAAGACCAGTGGTTCTGGCAGGCAATTCCTCAAAATGAAGCAATACACAGCCTTTTTTGCTCCTCTGGTATTTGCCAAGGTGAAAGGGTCTAAATTTTCAAATTAACACATTCCCACCACACATAATGACTTATGCCCTGTGCAAAATATCAAACCCAGTATGATGGATGTTGGCATCTCCATCCATGTGAAGGCATATTATTGACTTTCAGGAAAGAGAGAAGGAAATGGGGGTTTGCCGACAAATATAACTGGCCTTGAAGAAAAAGAGTGGGGGTATAAAGGCTAGGATACTACAGGTTACCATAGTTACCCTGTCAGGCCTCTACAGTGAGCAGCACTGTACAAACTTCAGAGAGCCCATCTTCTTACATCTGACCTTTCACCATACACTAGAGATTCTAGTTAGCAGTTCATGGCCTTAGGGCTTGGCTTCAAGATTCAGGAGCAAGCAAGCATTCTGCACCCCAGTCACCCTGGCTCCTTCCTTTCACATAATGTCCAAGGCCTAGTTCATGCACAGTCAACACTGAAGTGCTCAGCCAAGAGCAGACACTTTATATGCACATTACTGATCCCCCAGTCCTTCTACCACATGCCACATAATGTAATAAAAACTGATACACCTGCACCTTCATCACACCATTGCCAGAGTCACAAATGCCCGTTTAATTACTCTAGCAACTCAGCACTTTAACAGATTAGGCTGGGTCCAAAGACAGATGAAGCTACAAGGTTTCCATTGCAAGCTATAACCCAACTTTTTTTTTTTCATTAATCAAATAATACCAGTAAATAGATTTGGTTGGGCCAAATTGGCCCCCACTATAATGAACCTCAGAGCTTATAATTCAACTTTTCAAAAGACTGGGCAATTTATGAGATGATTGTCTTCCATCCAGGAAATAAAAGTTTTACTCCCCCAGATTCCATATGGTTTTCATGAACGCAATTTGCCATTTTGGAAATAAAGGTGCCTTTGGAGATAGGAGTGGGAGTGGGAAATGCTAAGAAGCGTACAGCATGCCTTACTGCTTACATTGGGCCAACTAGGAGGGATGTTCATACAAACTGAACTTTGGCTGGGAAGGCCCTAATGAAATTTAAAGTCTGGGGGATATTTATTGTTTGCTGTGAGTTGTGGGCTTGGAGTCTGGATATTTTTCTTAGGTTTAATGAGAATGGTGATATTCCATTATTGGAATTTTCATTTGAATTGGAAAATGACAGACTGTTGCCTACTTGGGGGAAGGATGACAGATGTGTGGGCCTGATGAGGGGAAAGGCAAAGCCATAGTCACTTTAGTTGAGTGAGTCACACAAGTAGGAATCTGCTTTTGTGTGACCCTTTGCAAAATGGCCTAACAATGTTATAAATATTGTTGAAGTCTGTATGGGCAAAGGATGTTGGGAAAGAGGTTAAAGAAGTGTTATTGTGCCCTTATAGGGGTGAGTTTTTGGGCTGTGTGAGGGGGTGGTAGAAATGTGATCATCAGGAGAAAGAATGAGTATAAAATCAATATTTCATTCTCCTCCTCACTGAGGTGCATTTGGCACACAAGAAAGTTGAGATTTATGCCTATGTTGGGTAGTGTGTGGCATAAAGAAGATAAGCTTATTTGAATGAATTGTTGCTGTAACTTAGGGGTTTGAAGGTGTGTGAAGAGGTAGCCATCAGCAGCATGTGGTTGGATGGGTCAGATGTATGTTCCCTTCCATGATGGTGACTGGACATCCAGAAGTGGAGGTTCAGATGGAAAACTAGGATAAAGAAAGCTACAGCTAAGTGAATGGAGGAAAGGCTGGTGGCAGTCACACGGCCATAAAAGGATGAGGGCTTCTGAGAAGCAAAGCAAAGAGTGATCTTGTCTGCTTGAGTTTGGCCTAGAGATCCTTGCTAAAGTGATGAAGAACTGCAAGGTTTGGGATCTACTCAAAAATTTCGAGCAAGTGTGAGTTGATGGGGGGTGATGTAGAGAATGTGGTAGCTAGGGAGTGGGGGCAAAAACCATTACTGCTGTGGGTGGTCTGATGCCAGGGGCATCCAGGAAATGCCCTGCCTGTAGATAGCTATCCAGAGAGGTAACAGTGTTTGGAGTTGACTATATGAAGACTCTGAGTATGTGTCCTTTGCGGGGGGGAGAGGTGCAGGTTGGGGTAGAAAGAGCTGTTATCGTGGGGAAACAGTGTTCTGGCTGGAGGTAGGAAAAGCTCTTGAGCACAGGCGATTCTGTGTTGCATATGGGTGTGGAGATGAAGGGTGGCGGGGCGGATCTATGAAGGTAGCAATGGGGGGGGTCGCGGCGAGCGAGTGTGTGTGCGTGTGTGTGTGTGTGTGTGCGCGCGCGCGCGCGCAAGTGTGTGTGTGTGCGTGTGTGTGTGTGTGTGTGTGTGCGTGTGTCTGTATGTATGCATGGAGCGAGAGTGGGGGTTGGGGGCAAGGGGGCCTCCCCGGGGACTCACCCAGCACGAAGTAGGGGAGCTCTGTGTTCTCCAGGTCGTCCACCACCACCATTTCCCCGGGGAAGTCATTGCGCACCGAGAACAGGAGCTTAGGCTCGGAGGCCGAGGGGCTGTGCATGATGCTGAGGTCGTTCTCCCGCAGGAAGGGCAGCGCCGACACCGTGATGCTTTTCAGCTTGCACTCCAGCTCCTTGGATGGGTCCCCGTCTCCTCCTCCTCCGGCGGCCGCGGCGGCCGCGGCAGCGGCGGTCGCCAGCACAGCCGCCGGCATCCAGCAGCAGGCGAGCAGGGCGCAGAGCCGGGCTAAAGCCATCTTGAGCCCCGTCCGCCTTCCTCCCAGCGCTGAGATGGTGGGGGAGGAACGGAAGGGAAGAGAAGGGAGGGAGTGAGGGAGGGAGGGGAGGAAGGTGGGGGTTTGGGAGGAGATGTGGACCCCGAGCGGGGAAAGCCTTGGTCCAGGGGCTGGGGAGCAGCAGCACCCTGCCTGCCTCCCGGGTGCGGTGCACTCACTGCCTGATCCCCGATGCACCCACAGCCGGATTTCTTTGTTTTCAGGGGCTGCGAGCACTATAAAGGGAAAACACTGGGGGACAGCAAGACCCGAAAGGGGGAAGGCAGGCGGGAGGAAAAAGAAAGCGAGCTAAGGATCTCAGAGAATCAGGTCAGCCCCCGAGCTAGCGGCTTGGGCTGCTCCTTCTCCTTCGCATCTCCCCAGCTCTCGCACCCACTCCGCTATTAACTACCTGAATTGGTGCTTTTTTTTTTTTCAATCAGACTTTGCAATGCAAAATCTTCCCCTGGCATCATTCAAATGGCTCAGTGGACTAGGTTGAGGCGAAGCGCGCAAGCACACACACACACACACACACACACACACACACACACACACACACGCACACACACGCACACACACACACACACACACACACACTTCTTAAAGGACACTTTGGAAATGAACCATGAATATGATTTATGATGACCCTCTCCAGTTTATTTTGGTGTCTAAACACTCCTATTACTGACTACCCATTCTTGTCATTCCTGCTCCAACAGTTGGATTTGGTTACTGGGGTGGGGGGTTGGCGTTAAGAAAGAGAAGAATGAGGCTGTGTTTAACATTGTTTGGGAAAGCATTTTAAAGGAATTTGGAGGGCGCTGTGTCTATTACTCAAGCACCCAAAGAAACCCTTGATGCAAAATAATAGACTGGAGCTTTTCCCTCCAGGTCTGCCTACCTCAACTCTGCTTCCAAATGTTTTTAAGGGAAACTATATACTCAGGTGATTGTTTGGCATGGTATAGCTGCCAGAAGTAATATCTTGACAGGAAAAGAAATGTAGATACGTTAAGGTTGGTAAATGTGCAATAGAGAATAATAATAATAAAAAATCAGTCTGAGGAGAAAAAAGTAAAGTTTCCAACCCTCTAATAATAAATCAGAAAGAAATATTTGAGTGTGTATAGTTATGTGTGTGTGCAAACTAACTCAACATCCTCTTTATAACGGCAGGCATAGGATATTTAGCAAGTGTTCTGGGAGGGGAAAGTCATCCACATGAGATTAATTTCCATTAATGTTAGGTAGCTTCCCCTTTTCAAAAGGATGACAGACATAATAAAATGTTTTAAACATGCTGAGGAGTATGCCAGCAACTAACATTCAAGTGAAGTTTCACCTAAGCTGCAGTCAATCACTAGCAAAAGTGCTCCAGAACACTTAGGTAATGCAGCTCCCCATACTCAGTCCTACAGAGGGTGAGTGACATGTGCTACCTATGAAACTTGAACCACTATGTAACTTTTGCATAGAAGGTCCCATATTTTGAAAGCCATTTCATCTTCATCTAATCAGAGATGGATTTCATTTTGTTTTCATATTGCACCAGTGACAAGTGCTGTTTATCTGATAAATATCCCATCTTTGACTGAATATTTAATACTGGGGACTGAGTGGCATCTCTTTAGGTGATCTTTTCTGTATATGTGGATAGTAGGTAAATGTATTAGTCAAGGAACTACCAATAGGGGAGGAGGCAATTGGTTGTTAATTTTAGTAACTCATTGTTACTATGAAAGAAATTGCACCCCGTGAGTCTATTTAACTCAATAAGCATTTATTAAATGCCTGCGATGTGCCAGGTACTATGCTAAGAATTGGGGATTCAAATAAGAAAAAGACAGTTCCTGCCCTGGAAGATCTTACAATATGATGAGGGAAAGACAACATAAAACAGGAAGCTTAAAAGGGAGGGGATGAGGGCAAAAACCTCCTCCTTGGAGTGAAAGCCAAGCAGAGTTGCTGATGGAAAACCATGAGTTATCTTCAGAGTTCTGAGGCCTCTACAACGGAAGGCAGTGGGAGTTTATTGCTTCACTATCCAGGTCTCCAATTAAAGGGGAGAGGCAACTGAGGGGGTTGAGAAGTCATGGAGTAGTCAAAATTGAGTCAATCTGCATGACAGTGATGAGACTTCGAGTGATCAGCTTATGCCAGGAAGGCCTGATGTTCTACAGAGCTGCTGATGGGAAATGGAAAGATGTTTGTTGGATTGGATTGAATACCAGAAGAAATAATTCTGGTAGGTCAAGTAAGAAAAAAAAAGACTTTTATATTGGCAGAAGTTTTACATGGTCTGGTAGTAATGGCAACAATGATAACAAGTTGGGGGGAGGGGACAGAAAAAAATAAAGTTTCAATCTTGTAAAGATCAAATGTCAGGAACATCTTTAAATTTCCCTCTGAGTTGGCCAAATGCTATATTCCACAAGACCACCAATGAGCAAACTTTGCGTAGTCTGCAGAGAAAGAATGAGAGGAAGGATAATACCATAAGCATGGCCTCAAAGACCTGTTAGACAAAGCCAGTCATGCTATAAGGAAAAGAACACTTGAGATTGAAGATAGAGGTCTTTGGTTCAATATCAGGGTCTGCTATTTATCAGCCATGTGACCTTAGGCAAGTCACTTAAACATTCTGGTCCTCAGTGTTTAGAATAGATGACTGTGAAGGTTCCTTCCAGCTTCAATATATAATATGATGATCTAATCTTAAAAGGCTGAGCCACTAATTTCAACACACTGCCAGTCAACTAGTATTTTGTTAAGTGCCTATGATATAGTAGGCACTGTATTAAGTTCTGGTGATACAAAGACCAAAAAAAGAAGAAAAAAAAGTATCGCTCCCAAGGAGCTCACCTTGCCTCATATAGGAAAAATTGAGGCTATTCATCATGAGCTCTTCTCCTCATTTCATATCACTTATATGCCTTCTGCCATTATCTCCTCCTTCACACCTCCGGCGCATAATGAGATGGCCTTACTCCATACCAAGGCTAACCCCACTACATGATCTAGGAATCGACTCCTTTTCATCTCCTCCAACAGATTGTCCCTGCTAGCATCCTCTCTTTATCTTCTATTTCTGATCTTTCTCCTTGTCGTTTCAAATTGCCTAAAAACATGTCCATGTCTCCTCCCATCCTGGAAAAAAACACCCTCATTTGTTCTTTCCATCCCCAATATCATCCTATATTTCTTTAGCCCTTTGGGGCTAAAACTGTCTATAATAGGTGCTTCCACTTTCTCTCCTCTCACTGTCTTCTTAACCCCTTATAACCTGACTCCCAACTTTATTCAACTGAAACTGCTCTTTCCAAATTACCAATAGTTTCAATTGCCAAATCCAGTGACCTTTTCTAAATCTTCATTCTTTGTGACCTCTCTGTAGCCATTGACACTATTCATCACCCTCTCCTCCTTGATTCTCTCTTCTCTAGGTTTTTGGGACACCACTCTCCCCTGGTTCTCCTCTTACCTATCTGTCTTCCTTCCCTGTCTTTTTTGCCATCCAGATCATGCCCTCTAACTATAGGTGTCCTGCAGAATCCTGTCTTGGGTCCTCTTCTCTTCTTCATCCCTATTACTTTGCTTAGTGATCTTATCAGCTCCTGGATTTAATTACCATCTCTATACTGACAATTCTTAAATCTACCTCTCCTGCTACAAGTTCTCTTTTGACCTCCAGTCTCACATCTCCAACTGCCTTTCAGACATCTTGAACTGGTTGTCCAGCAGACATCTTAAACTCAACGTGTCCAAAACAGAGCTCATTATCTTTCCCCCAGTCTGCCCCACCACCCACCTTTCCCTGTTCTATACAGGATACCACCATCTTGCCTGCCTCTCAGGCTCACAACTTAGTTATTATCCTCTCTGACCACCTATATCCAGAATCTGTTGCCAAGGCCTGTCAGTTTCACTTTTGTGCCATTTCTTTTCTCCTCTGACGCTGCCACCACTTTGGTGAAGGCCCTCATCACCTCACACCTGGACAAGTGCAACAGCTTGCTGGTGGGTCTACCTGCCTCATGTCTCTGTCCACTCCAGTCTATCCTCTATCCAGCTGCCAAAGTGATTTTTCCTAAAGCACAGTCTAGTCATATCTCTCTACTCAACACAGTGGCTTTCAGTTTTCTCCAGGAGGAAATACAAAATGCTCTATTTGGCATTCAAGGCCCTTCATAATCCATCCTTCTCCCTTTCTAGGCTGCTTGCATCTTACTCCCCAACCCATACTCTTTGATCTAGTAACACTGACTTCCTGGCTGTTTCATGAGCAAAACACTCCATCTCTCAGCTCTGGGCATTTTCTCTGACTCACCCATGCCTGGAATGGTCTCCCTCCCTATCTCTACCTGCTCAATTCCCTGGCTTCCTTTAAAATCCCATCTTCTACAGGAAGCCTTCCCCAGCCCCTCTTAATTCTAGTGCCTTCCCTCCGTTAACTATTTCCTATTTATCTTGTATATAGCTTGTCTGTATATATTTGTTTGTTGTCTTCCCCATTATATTGTGAGCTTCATTTTGGTCAGGGATTGTCTTTTGCTCCTTTTTGTATCCCAGCGCTTAGCACAGTTCCTGGCACTTATTAGGTACTGAATAAATTTTATTGATTGATAGAGAGTCTAACACCAATATAATGGACTAGGACATCGAAGTATTTACAGAGCTAGGTGCTGGGACCCTGAATAACACTGAATAAGACAACCTTTCAAATATCCATTTTTATTCTTCTAACAACAACTATATGAAGCATTTATTTCCAAACAGCTGACATGTACAAAAGCCGATCTGTAGAGACGTTGTATATGTGCACCCACTCCCATAGGTTGGTATCCCATCAATAACTTTTCAGAAGTGCCTTGGGCTTCTCCAAAGAAAGATAGAATAGCAGCCAACCATCACTTTGGGAGAGAATTATCTGTCCACTTCATTTATTTGCCATTTCTTTCTCCAGTTACTTTGGGTAACAGAGCGACTGTATAGAATATTGTTACTGTGGGGATTTTTCCCCATGATCTAGATCTGCTGATTTCATAAGTGTAGGGAATGCCCAACACGGAAACCTTTGTTCACTCTTTGATAAAGAATTACCTGGTGGCACTGAAAGATTAAGTGACTGGCACCTTGGTCAGAGTTCTTAATTGTCACAAGCAGGAATTGAACCCAGGTCTTTCTAATTCCAAGGCTGGCCTTCACATAGATAACCATACCAAGTTAGAATCAGTTGTTATCTGCAGTCTTTATGTATGGATCCATATGTTGGTGAGTAAAAGGGACTGAAAAAAAAAAAGGAAGATATCATTTGAGGCTACTTGATTCCTAGAATTGAATATGGTCCTGTTAGGAATGGGGAGGGGGAGGAGTGTGGGACACAAAGAACCTCAGAAACTTCCATCAGGATTAAATGGAGGATTTGGGGTTGGGGTTAAGGGAAAGGCTAGAGAATCAATTCTCTAGCCAGATCATTAGGCTAAGTCTGCCTAACTTTTTGAAAATGAAT